CACACTTGAGGTGCTAAGTTCTTAAAGGCCAAATACAACAAGCTATAACAAGAGGTAATCTTCTAACTAGTTTTTTTATGATTCAAATGTCAAATTGTATGCTAGTTGTAGGCTTCATTCTTTGGATAATTTTGTTGCATGTGTAACTAGAGAAAACTTAGATCCAAAGCATTAGGGTTGTATGTGCACCATAGGGATGTTAGAGTACATAAAACCCAACAGTGGTATCAGAGCCATGGATGTTTTCTGTTATATAGATGCATTGGTTGATTGTTCAAAGCAAAATAAAATCGTTTTTTGGAATCTGACAGATGACCACGACGCGGTCAAAGTTATCACGTCGTGGTGGACCATCTGTGTGCAGATTTTCAAGTTTTTGGCCATTTTTAGATTAGGATCATTACCACAAACTGTTTTGGACTGTTAAAATTTGTTTTTTCTGATATGATAATGATTATCCCATCCAATTAAAAGATAAATTGTCAAATTATATAATATATATACTTAATTTTGGGGAGCCTTACATACAGTAACTTTCTTTGCTTTCATGTTTTTGCCACCAAACTTTTCCATCTTTACGCTTTTGCCACTTTCCCTCTTATGACTTCCTCTCCACCGCCTTTGACTACTTCCTCCTTTTTCTGTCTTCGTATCTGGATCATTCTCTCTGGATGCTTCGCACTGCCATACTATTCTACCTTATTCTACCTCCCACAAATCTTCCGCTTCTTCGTAGATGCTTGCCACGGGTCTTCTTTCCACCGCCTACCTTTACTACACCTGTGTTGTGTGCCCTTTATTCAATACCCCCTCTACTTCGCGACTACGATTGTTCTTCTTCATCTGATCAATCTCAGAAGAGAAGAATCAGGTCTGCCACCAACTCCCCGATTGGAACGAACTACGTCTACGATTCATCGCTCTTTTTAATTTTGATTCTGATTTCCTCACTAACAAGTTGGATCTTACTTTCAAGTCTCCCCGTCTTCATACTCCTCTTACAATTACAATTTCCCCAAACCCTTTTTGAATTTGTCCTCTTCAATCTGAAATCGGTTCGACCTCAGCAAGACTCTCACCAAACCTCTTTCAACTCTTCACATGGACGCTAAACCCACCCTAATGGTTAGAACTGCTTACCTCAATCCATACAGCTACTCGATTTTGATCTTTTGGATTTGAAATCTATTGTTTAATATCGAGTATTGTTTGTTTATTTGCAGCACGATATGGAATTAACGGAAGTTATGGTACGCTCTCAATCTTTGTTTAATATCGAGTATTGTTTTTTGAAGCTGGTAGCAATTCATCTTGTGAATTCAAATGGATTAATTTGATTCGAATTTTTTATTAAAAACCGATGACAGCATCAGAACATTTTGAGAAAGTTCAAATATTTGATACGAATGTCATCTTTTTTCTGCAATTTTAGGCATTATTGAGCTATTGATGGGTTGGCTCTTCATTTTTGATGCAATATTCTGATATTCAGATTAGTTATAGAATTTATTTTTTGGGATATATATATATATATATATATATATATATATATATATATATATATGTTTCTTCTTTTGCCAATTGTTGATCAGATATCGATCTCTAATGGAAGCCCTAACATTTGACATTTCTGAATTAAATTCCATATTGTGAGATTTTTATTCATGTTTTTACAGACAGAGTTCATGGTGGATCTGAGTTGCGAAGGTTGTGTTAAAGCGGTGAAGAACAAGTTACAAACAGTCAATGGTAAGTGTTATGAATGCAATGAGTAGGAAGACATTATATTATAAGTCCGTAATTTCTATATATTCTTTGTTGATTTAGGAGTTAAGAGCATTGATGTGGATTTGAGCAATCAAGTAGTCAGAATTTTTGGGACTTTACCAGTTAAGACCATGGCTGAAGCCTTGGAGCAAACCGGTCGAAAAGCCCGACTAATTGGTCAAGGCTCTTCAGGAGGTTTGTTTCCTTTTCTCATTTCTTTTGGTCTATCGCTTTTTGTAGAAATATCTACAATTACTTACCAATTTTGCCATAACTTGAAATCTAAATTCTTTTAACTTTATATTATTTTCAGGTTATAGGAGGATGATGACTAATCATACCCCAAGAATACAATTCAGTTATACTCACCCAATTGGTTATGAGATTTCAAAGTAAGTTTCATGTTGCACACCAACTGTTCTATAAAATGCTTAAACCAGATTTTTGAATTATTATTGAAATCCATTATTTAGGGTAAACTTTATTTTATGCTCACTTAGTGTTTAATATTATCTTTTTAACCTCTTTTATGAAATCAAGAAACTGAAATATAGTTTGGTTTCTATTAAACCGTAGGAAAAAAATTCAAGCCGATATATGTGCCAAGAATATTCAGTTACTGATTATCAAGTTAGTTCCCATGTTCTTTGGTCGGGGACAAGCAACTTCACTGTTTTATACCTTGATATCTTGCTTATTACTTACTGAAAGGACTAAGCTACAAGCTTTTTTGACTTTTTTCTTTCTTTTACCTTTGATTACAAGCTTTCTTTGACATTTCAGAAACCCCTTCTCAACAACCACTTTGTTGATAAGAATCTTGGTCCATCTTACGGTAAGTTATATTATATGGATTTGCTGCTTGTGTTTCATCTTTTCCTTCTTGTTTTCATTTTGACAGGGCAAATTGAATCCATTTTTGTTAAAATGGGTTGGTTTGGGTTATATGTGTCAATTCCAACTTTGGAATCTTCTTCTATATTGTTTTTAGATTTGGTCCAATGGCAAAATGGTCTTTGTAAAAAAAAGTAATAGACAAAGGTAATCATGTTAAAGAGAAGGATATTTAACCAACTTTTTACATGTGTTAGCTCTACATAATGTTATTAAGTTTACTGTTAAAAGTTTTATTAGGTGGGATTGTATAATAAAGATGGAGATAGTGTTGTTAAAAGAGTGAAATTCTAGAAAATACATGTTAAACAATAAATTTAATATGAAAAAAATAATAAAAATAATTTATGTTAATAGATTCGCTTAATATATTAAATTATTAATTGCTTATAGCTTATTGTTATGATCTGCATGATAACAGTGTAACAGAAGAAAAAAAAGTTGTAAACTATTATAGTAACATACGTTGGAAGAACATAGGTAAACAGTAAATACAAATTTATTAAATGATTTAGTTTCTATTCAATTATATTGGAATCGTTCATATTCTAAATGGTAGGACACCACACTAATGAATAATAGGTTACTGGATATAATTACCACTTTTGGAGACAGGAGTATTGGATCATTCTATTTTACACAAGGCACTTGTGGAGTAGCTTACAAGGTATGTTTAAACATGTTTAACTTTGGGCCTGTAAATTGACTGGATATAATTACCCATATTTGATATTTTCTTTTCTTTCCGATTCTAGTGTTATTAGTTGTGTGGGCCCACGGCCTCCCACGCAATACATAATTTTATAAAATTGAAAAGAAAGAAATATTAGTTAAGGGTTTAATATTAAGTTTATATTAATCAGGGGTGATTCTTGCGACAAAATAGAACCACAGGGAAAATTTCCGTCATACGAAACGAAACATTATTAAAAGCTTTTAATTTACTCGCTTCATGACTTATGCATAACAATGCCCAGGTTTGTCAATACTGTTATTTCTCTTCATCTATTTCACATTACTAACTCTAAATTTACGAATTTGTCCTTTCTCTCAACAGCTAGAATTCGGTTGTTGGTAATATCCACAAGATGAACATTTATTGTGAAAATAGTTAACATTGTTTTTAATAAAGGGTAATAATGTCAATATGTCATCTATTACAGAGTATAAGCAAACTTTCTTTTGTTTGGTTAGCCGTACTTCTTCTCCAGTCGAAGAACACCAAAATGTCTTGTCTGCTGCTATCAGTCATGGATGTACAATGTTGCATCCTGGTTATGGTTTCCTTGCTGAGAATGCTGTTTTTGTTGAGATGTGTAGAGGACATGGAATCAACTTCATTGGCCCAAATGTAAGTAACTTATTATTGCTATTACTATTATCTAGATTGTTTAATATGCTATAATTAATGCTTGTTTGCAGCCTCACAACATTCGTGTGATGGGGGACAAAGCAACTGCTAGAGATACCATGAAGAATGCTGATGTTCCATGTGTACCTGGAGGTGAAGGTCTATTACAAGTATTTTGATTCATCTATATTATTATTTTATAATATTGAATTCTTGATCTAATACATTCATTTACTAAAGTATTTCTATGTTACAATTAAGCAAAATGATTAAAATGTTCTCTTTTACCTGTTATGCCATGGTTTAACAATTTTTACTTGCTTGATATGGCAAAATGACTAAAATGGTCATTTTGACCAAAATGACCAAATTGGTCATTTTGACCGGAATGACCGAAATTAACATAAGTGGTGAGAAAATGATTTCTTTCCTTAAAAAAACATTCATTCTGAAGAAAAGAATAAATATGATAACATAAATATCATAAAAAGTTTATAAAAAAAATTCATGAATGATTCACAAAGAAAAAAAAAATTCATAAAATCAACTAACCCTCGCAACGAGGGGGTAATTCTTTCCTAGTTATAAAATAATTTCTAGATTATATGATAAACTAATTATTTGTGTAATTTGATTTGAAATTATCTTACTACAAGAGTTGCATTAGGTCAAATTGGTAAAAGATAAATAATATGATTATTTTATTAGTTTAAAAAGTTTGATCTAAATGTTTTTGAAGAGTTACAAAATTTGTCTTTAAGTTTTGGAATTCTAAAGGTTTTTAAGGAGTTACAAAACTTGCCATCAAGTTTTGGAATTCAAAGGTTTTAAAGAGTTACAAAACTTGTCCTCAAGCTTTGGTATTTGAAAAGTCTCAAGTTAATAAACATTGAATTCTAAAACTCTTGTAATTGAAAGGTGCAACTTTGGGTTCATAACTTAAAAATTAATTAAATAGTTTTAATTTTGAATTTTGTATTTGGAACCTTGATGTCTTTTTGAATAGTTCAAATTGCCTCTTATGGATTGTATTAAATTAATTAAAGTGTTTAATTAAAAGAGAAGATTAATAAATTCATAATAACATGGTTTAAGTTTAATTAAATTAAGAGTATAATTTATTAATTAAACCATCAAGTGTTTTAAAGTTTAAAATACACCCTTATACTATATAAAATTAAAAGTTTAATATATTATATATGTATAAGTTAAAAGTCAGTCTTACCGTTAGTAGACCTCATTCACGAAGCTAGTCTATAAGGGGGTATAAGGAAATTGCCTATAAAATGGCGATTGATTGGGTGTCCACTCTCACCCACCGCTTCCTTGATTAGTGGAGGGTCGTTAGCCGAACGGGTACAATATGACATTATCATTAAAAGTATAATGAAATACAAAGTAACTAAAAACTTTATAATTTCCCAATCTTAGTTACTTAGGAAAAATGTGAATTTGATGCTAATCCATGAAATTGCATTTTGCACCTTCCCAAGTCGTTAGTGGAGCGTGTGTGGTTAACCGACACACTAACTTGGACTAGTAAGGGTGAAAAAGGTTAGCTCGTAGTTTGCCATAGATCAATGGAGCGTGTATGGTTAACCGACATATTGATTAGGTGATAAATGATTTCGAGAGTACCAAGCTAATTTGCATGGTTATTCACACCTTGTTTGTGATCCTCGTTATCCCAGTCACAAACTTAAAGGGCATAATCGAGATTAAACATGTCATTGAAAAGTTCAATGAATCTCAAAAGATCTAGGGAGTTTCATTTAAAACCTAATTCGTTTAAAAATTTTGTTTTCATGGTGGAATTGGTAAATCGTCATTTACATACCGACAAATAGTTTACAATTGGATTACGGCATCCCTCTTCCGAATTGTAAATTATTGTGTTCGGTCCTAGCCTTGATATTTCATTTGGGTGTTATATTAAGGACTTAAATCAACTAAACTTGAATTTCTCCCTTGTAGATGTCTAGTTCAGACAACTATGGTCTTCACGAATCTTTTGGAAAAAGCTTTCCTCATGAAGATGATGTCCCACGATTGGATCGTGCAAATGGAAATCATACTTCACTTCCTCCACCTCCTCCAATAGTTCTCCCTAAACCCACATGTTCGTCGACTTGAAAAGTTCAAGGTCACTCAAACCCTATTGGCAAGCAAACACCAAGATGGAAGGTTTGTGTGTGCACATGTCTTGGAGATGATGTCACACATTGACAGGTTGGGAATGTTGGGAGTCATTGTGTCAAGGAAGTTTGTTGTTGACTTGGTTCTTCAATCACTTCCTATGTCATATAGTGAGCTTATTAAAGATTACTATATGACAGACCGCGATGTGACCCTTATCGATCTTACCTATTTGCTAATTGCTGCTGAATCAGAAATGATTTGGCGCACTGGTAAAGCAATTTTAATTGTAAGATCTATGTCCCAAACTTCCATGGACATTGACAATGGAAAAATTGGAAGTCCAAAAAAGTCTTCTCTTCCCAATGGAAAGGGATCGGCCATGGTGAAGCCGTTTGACCAAATGGTAAAGAGAAAGGCTAAGTCTGAGATTGTCCCGTGTGCCATTTCAAAAGAGTCTGTTTGTTTCTACTGCCAAGAGAAGGGGCATTGGATGTGGAGTTGTCGTATCTACCTGAAGGACCATATGGATGGTAAAGTCAAAATGTATGACTCTGCTTCAGGTAAGTCCAATATCTAACTCTATTAAGTTCCTATTTGAAGATTCTTAATACATGATGTGATGAGATCACATTTTGATGTTTTGTAGGATCGAAGAAGAGAAATGAAGCTTAAAGAAAGAGCAGGCTGAGTCTGATCGCGAAAAGATGGATTTCGATCGCATGATTCGATGATCAGAGTTTTGAGTTGCTGCTTAGGAGTTATGATAGATTGCTTAGGAATATTTAGAAACATAGTTTTCATATGTACATGCATTGTAAGGACAATATTTTCCGCATTTTTATAAATAAAGAAAAATTTTGATTTTATCTTATTTTATATTTCCTTACAATGGCATATGTGAAAATTGATGTTTATATGTATCTATTGTTTAGCAATAAAATGGATTTGATTCTATCGTTTGTGGTAGTGTCTAAATTTATCAAATAAGGAAAGATTCTCATCACAAAAGTTTCAATTGGACAGAAACTTGGAATCATGCAACTTGTATTGCATAATGAATGAGAACCTTCATCTTTAGGAAATTAAGACTAATTCCTTGTTCACATGCATATGTGAGTCAAGTGAAGGACTAGGGAATCTAGTACAAATTGTTGTGTACTAGTCCAAGTCCACCACAAAGAACGATAAGACTATTCGTCATGACTTACTAAAGTTAGTAAATATGGTTATACTTACAAGATTAAGTGTAATTTTGAATCATTGAAAAAGTTTCAATGTATAGCAGAACGAATAAGAAGAATCAAATTAGGCAGAAAGATAAAAGTTTCTTCAGAGCAATCTGAAAGGAAAGGAGAGCACTTCAGTATCGTGTTTTATAATCATCTTAATGATTATGAAAACCATATCACAATTGATCCTCTAAGGACACCTTAGTGCACTTGTATGGCTAAGAAGAGGAACCGGGAATTGTTGAAATGGTTAAATCAATTAAGATGAGTCATACTTCATTCCAAAATCAAGTATTAGAGTCATACTCCAAGATTGTTCCTTAAGTGACATATCTTAAGTAGGTTTATAACACATTTGAAAATGGTAGTTGTGATGTATTGGATAAGACAAAGACCAACTAAGACCAATTGTATGAAGTGTTGTCTTGATAAGAATCCGCACTAACTCTTGAATATTTGTTTGTCAAGGAATGGTCCTTGATAATAGAATCTTATATGTCAAGAAGTCAGTGAGAGTCTTAAAAGATCTTGAAAATTTCAAGAACTAATCAAGAATAAACCTATTGTTTATCACTAGCACACGACTTGAGGTTTGTAACTTATCGTGTTGACATATTCTTGTTTCTGTGCCATTTCAGTTAAAGTTGAATATGCATGTGAGTTCTATGAGTTCACAATTGTTTGCATAAGGCAAAGCACCTTGATCAGTGAAAGTTCATTGATCGGTAAGGGTGATATGCTCAACAACTTGGAAGACATGGTAGGCCCTTGTGCTGCCAAGTGGCAAGAAATTAAGATTGAAAAAGTTCAGTCCATATGAGTTTGAATCTGCCATAGACCTTATCTAATGATAATGGTTGGAAATGACAGTTTCACATTGATAAGAACACATACACCATAAAATCTAAGTGACATAAGGTTTCTCTCCACTTCATGAAAATGATTGTGAGGAAACACTTTCATTAAGAAGATTTTGAGGAGATAGCAGTTGTGTTAATTGCGTTCTCAAATTTGATTATGATTACGATATCCCTCTTCATAGTTTGAATTGTGAGAAATGGCAAATAGTTTGAACATTCAGAACTTATTGTTGTAAGTTCTGAAATAGTTTTGACACACAAATAAGCTTTCTAATAAAAGGTGTATGAGCTTAGATAAAGGCTTATCGAAGCATCTCGTATCAGGAATCTGAACTTTGGAAATAAATTCAATAAGTATTGATTTCTAGAAGTCCAGCTGATTTCTGAGTACATGTCAAAGCTAGTGGGAGCATAAGTGTTATGCTAGTAAGAATATAATTATCATGATAGTGGGAGCATGATT